GATCTCTTTTTGTTTCTTGTAGTAATGTTTTATGGTTACCCATTATGTACAATGTTTGGATGAGCTTCCAGATTGATTTATGCTGGGAAGCAGGAGTGACATCCACTTCCTAAACTGGATGCCTCTGGAAAATCTACAAACTCTCTAAATGTACAGAAATGATGTGAGTTATAGAACAGAGTTCAGGTCATTTGTGCAAAACTTAATCTCAGTCGTATTCAACTTGACGACACTTAACCACTGCCAAATGAAACTAGTGCTGTTTATATCTGGAGGAATACTCTTCTACTTTGTAAATCAATCAGTCTTTGTCAGTGTGCAGTATGAAGTAACCTGGGCTTGCTGTGATGCTTAACTTTGTACTATTGGGGTATAAGTACCAGAATGGTTTCCCGGTATGGACAGTGTTTGGAGCTCCCAGTTGTAAAACATGTTCGGAAGCAGGAGTGGCATCCACTTCCTAAACCACATGCCTCTGGAAACTCTATGAAGTTGGAATTGACAATAGTTATGGAAAGGCATTAGGTCTTTTGTTCACAGAGTTGCTATGAGTTGTGCTTGACTTGACGGCAATCAACAGCAAAACAAAAATACCAAAACCCATTCTATTTAATGGACTCTAATTTACATCAACCCTATCTGATGGACTAGAATTGCCCCATTGAGGTTCAAGATTGTAATCTTTACAGACAAGAAGTCCTGCTGATAGAGTGCATTACATCCTGGACTGTTAACCAAGAGGTCAGCAGTTTGAATCCATCAACCATTCCATGAAAGAAAGAAAGATGAGCAGTCTGCTCCCACAAAGATGAACAGTCTTCGAGACCCAGTAGTGAGGTCTTATGGGTTGACGGTGACTAGACAGCTCTGGAGAATCTCTGTGGAAGCAGACTGTCACCCCACATTGATTGGATGGTGGCTTTGAACTTCTCGGCTGGCTGCTGAGTGCTCCACCCCTGCACCTTCAGGGCTCCTTAACATGTGATTGCTGTTGTTGTTGTTACATGTAGTCAGTTTGGAACCAATGCCTAGCTGACTCTCTTGTGGTTTTTGAGAGACAATAAATTGCATGGGAGGAGATTGCCCATCTTTTTCTTTTGGAGCAGGTGGTGGATTCGAACCACACAGCACAAGCCTTACCACAAAGTCACCAGAGCTCCCTTAAAGTTTATTTGTTGTTGTTGTTGTTGTTATGTGCCTTCAAGTCCCTTGTGACTCACTTGTACACTCTGTGTACGACAGCTCTGAACCCTGCTTTATCCTGAGCCAACCTTACTGTCTCTGACATTACCCCAGTCACTGAGTCAATCCATCTCATTGAGGGTCTTCCTCTTCTGCGCTGCCCTTCCACCCTCCCAAGCATGACATCCTTCTCCAAGGACTGGTCCCTCCTTGCAACACGCCCAAAGTATGTCAGACGAAGCCTAAGAATCCTTGCCACCAAGAAGCAGGCTGGTTTTACTCTCTCTAGGATGAACTTGTTTGTTCTGCTGGCAGTCCATGGTGTATTCAATACTCTTCTTTAGAGAGCACAAAAATTATTGTTACATACTACATAACAAATACTATATAATATGTTTTTAGGTGCCATTAGGTCAACTCACTGGATTCCAGTGAGGATCCTTGTCTTACCTTGCTCCATCCTCACCATCTCTGACATGCTTAAATTCATTGTTATACCATATGTAAATATTTTGTGTATAAACTGTGACGCAAAATAGGAAAATGAACATCCAAGAAGCTGTCATCTCATTGAAGTTAGAGCACAGAGGCAGCACTGCTGAAGTTCCATGTAGGTCAAGTGGCTGCATTCAGAAGCCATGGCAAAGCGATAAGCCGTAAATTTGAGTTTCAGAAAGTCAGTGTGTAATTCGCTTTTAGTTCAAGGATGTTTCCCCTCTACCACTTGTATGTCAGTTTGTCATGCTGTGGTGGCTGGTGTGCTGCTGTGATGTTGCAAATGATGTCATCGGTGTCTCAAGTATCAGCCAGGTCATCCCTGGTGACAGGGGTCCAGCCATAGTGTTCAGGTGTCTATCCATTGTGGACACGTCATCCATGATGGACAGATGCCAGCAGAACTTCCAGACTAGGATGAAAGGTCTGGCCATTTCCTTCCAAAAACTGGCCAATGAAAGCCTTATAAATGACAACAGAGTATTGGCTGACTTTTGCTTGTATTGTCAAGACTAATTAATTACTGGAAGAAGACATCATGATTGGTGAAATAGAGACCCATCAGGGAGTTAGACTGACATGTTGTTGTTGTGTGCCATCAAGTCAGGACTGACTCATAGCTAATCCTCCAGCAGGTTTATTAGAGTTCTGAGTTTGAGGGAGCTCTGGTGGCCTAGTAATAAGAAGCTGTGCTGCAATCCTGAAGGTGCATGGTTCAAATTCATCAGATGCTCTGTTGGAGAAGGAGGGGCAGTCTCCTCCTATGCCAGTTGGATCCAATTTGACGGTACACAACAAGGGGAAAAAAGGAGCTCTGAGTTTGTCCACTTTTCCCCCAGCAAGCTTCATAATTTCATTTATAAGTCATGATTTCAAAATAGATGTAAAATAAAACAACTATGAGTTATCATACCACCCCAGTAATACTAGCAAAATTTAACAGAACAGCAAGCAACAAATGCTGGCGAGGTTGTGGAGAAACTGGAACCCTTATTCACTGTTGGTGGGAGTGTAAAATGGTGCAACCACTGTGGAAGTCAGTGTGGTGCTTTCTCAAAAAGTTGCAAATAGAGATATCATTTGACCCAGCAATTCCACTAGTGGGAATATACCCCAAAGAGACCATAACTGCCATCCAAGCAGATATATGCACACCCATGTTTATCGTGGCTTTGTTCACAATAGCAAAGAGATGGAAATAACCTAAGTGCTCACCAACAAATGAAGGGATAGAGAAGTTGTGGTATATTCACACAATGGAATACTATGCTGCATTGAAAAACAAGGAACTCATGAAATATTATTCAAAATGGGTGATCCTGGAGGACAGCATGTTGAATGAAATATCTCAGTCACAAAAGGACAAATATTGCATGGTGGCACTGTTGTAAAACAGGACTGACATCAGGACTGGGGGCAGACTGAGAAAGATGGGATAAATAATGTATACTGCATTGAAACAGATGAGGGAGAAAACTGTTTAAAAGGGATATGTGATTATGTATTTTTGTCATGATAGGAGTCCAGAATGAAGGCTGCATAATGAAGTGAACCTAGGGGGAGGGATGTAAAAGAAATACAAGTATTTTTATTTTACTTTTCAAAGAGAAAAATGTACTGAGAGTGGGGGAAGGGTGGGCAGGGAGAAAAGTGCAACAATGAGTGAATGGAAATCCAAAGTGTCTGTAAATTTTCATTAAAATTAATAATAATAAAAAAATAGATGTAAAATGGAGTATCACTGTGAATCTAATTACTAAGGCTTTTTCTTTTTGCCTTTTGACATGTTCCTTGGGTTTTCCCTTATAAATATATATATAAAATATATAAAAATATATGTTATATATTTATATATAATGTATAAATATATAGTTATTTGATTTTCTGCACTGCAAATATCTCCTCTTAGTTCATAGTCTTTTTTGCCTTCTTTACCAGATCTTTTGATTAGCAGACATTTTTACCTTACTATAAATTTGTGAATTTTTGCACAATGATGATTAATTTTGATTTCTTAAGTAATCTCTTACGATTCCAAGATACAAAAAGATATTCTCCTAAGTTTTCGTCTAGAAATTTTAATTTTTTAAATATCTAAATCTTTAATCTTTCTACAGTTGTTTTTTTTGTGAATGGTGTGAGGTAAGGATCAAATTTCTTTCCTTCCCTCTCTCCTTTCATTTAGATAACAATTTTTCCCAAGAACCTTTTAGTGAATAGTTATTTCCTCACTGGTTTGTTATGTATTGAATGTCCTTTTATGTGTGAGTCTATTTCTGGTTTCTATGTTCTGTTCCAATAATAGCAGTTTATTTTGGCATCAGTAATCATACCGTTAATCATTATGTCTTTATAAAAAGTTCTGATCTAGGGGAGCTCTGGTGGCCTAATGACAAGAAGCTGCAACTACAATCGCAGAGGTGAACGGTTCGAATCCACCAGATGCTTTGCCGGGGAAGGAGGAGCAATCTCCTCCTGTACCAGTCAGATCTGATTTGACGGTACACGCACACAAAAATAATAAAATTAAAAAAAAAAAAGTCCTGATCTCTGTTAGACACACAGAGATTTTGAACATTTCAGTTTGTTTTCCCTGCCTATAGAGAATCCTGCATTCAATCCCCTATAATCTCTCCAACTGAGTTAGAGAGATGGGATGTTTACATTGTTGTACAGAGATATCATATACCTTATTCCAGGTCATGAAACGCAGACAAGACTTGGGCCCAGGGCAGGTGAGGGGACATGCTGTTCTCCTGAGCTGTGTGTATTTCACGTAGATAAGGCAGTGATGTGATTTGTCTTTGCAGAACCTGTGAACATCGGAGGAATCGTGGGAACAATTGTGAGCCTCCTTCTGCTGGGACTGGCCATTGTTTTAGGGCTCATGTTGTATTACAGCCCTGTGTTCTGCTGGAAAGGTAGGACTTCTTGGGCCCCTCTGCTTCTCTCTCAGGATTCTTGAAAGGATGTGGGTGCAGAAATGAAGCCTCTTTTAAGATCCTGCCTGAAGTCTCATTCTGTATGCTTTTTCATTTGGATGAACGTATACAATTATGAGCCCTTTTCTTTCTTTTTTTAAAAATTTTATTATTTTTGTGTGTGTGTGTACCGACAAATAGGATCTGACAGATGCAGGAGGAGATTGCCCCTCCTTCTCCAGCAGAGCATCTGGTGGATTTGAACCATGGACCTCTGGGATTGCAATGCAGCTTTTTGCCACTAGGCCACCAGAGCTCCCTTTTTTTTTTTTTCCCTTTTAGAGCTCCCTTAATGAGGCTCTTTCATCTCTCATACTTGTTTGGTTTTCTTATCTCTTCATTCTTTTGTACATTAAAAATATTTCTGGCGGGAATTCAAGGAGATTGAATTGCATTTTAACCATTTTTAAGGGTATAATTCTGTGGCATTAATTCCAGTAAAAATTTGTACAACAGGGAGCTCTTGTGGCCTAGCGGCAAGAAGCTGCACTGTAATCCTGAATGTGTGCAGTTCAAATCCACCACAAAAAGAACAAAAAAATACCCAAAAATCATATAATAAAAGTTATTTTGGAAAAATTATACATTTACCATTATATAGTTCTGAAACTTTTTGATAATCCCATGTAGAAACTCTATGCTTATTAAGTAATAGTGCCCTATTCCCTCAACTCAGCCCCTCAAATCTACTCCCTGCTTCTATGAATTTGCCTGTTCTAGATATTTCATAGAAGTGGGATAATATACCATTAGCCTTTATATGTCCAGCATATTTTACTTAGCAAAATATTTTCTTTGTTGTTGTTTGTTTTGCTTTGCTTGCATATGAAGTGTACCAAAAGCATTACATTTACTGGTGGGACTTTTCAATGGGAAAAAAATCATGATTTAATCTATCTGGGGCCTTAAAAGCAGTCATTCTGGGCCTTGGTTCAGTCTGGAGGCAAATGAGTATCTAGAAAGAATCCGTGAGTAATATTTTTATCACTGCCCCAAACCATCTATGCCTTTGAAAGATGTGAAGAATCAGAATTAGCATCATATACTCAAGATCTATCCGTTCCATAGCTTGTATTGGAACTTCACTGCTTTTGATGGCTGCTAAATCACATCCCACTGCATTGCTAGGCTACACTTTGTGTGTCCATTGATGGACTCTCTCACTTTTCATGTTGAGTCTGTGTTCCCATTTGTTTATTCAGATATGAATGTTAGATTGATAAAAAACCTTGTGAGGTTGAAATAAATAATGTTACTGGATATTAATTTCTTTTTTCCTTTCTTCTTTCAGTGGGAAGCACTTTCAGGTGCGTGTTCTCTAGATTCAAACAGAAAACCCAGCTTCATTGTCTATCTTCGTGGTCTCTTGTTCCTGTCTAAGAATAATGGCAGCAGTTACCTCTGAGGACTCATCATTTGCCAACCGCTGCACTGGCTTTCTTTTTGTTTTTGTTGGTGGTTCTATCAAGTTGTTATTGTTATGCACTATCGAGGCAGAACCGACCCATAGCTGACCCTCCAGTGGGTTTTCAGAGGCAGTTAATCACACAGGAGGAGATTGCCTGGTAGAGCAGCTAGTGGATTCAAACCGCATGCATTCAGGATTGCAGTGCAGCTTCTTACCACTAGGCCACCAGAGCACCCTATAACAGTGACCCTGTAAACAACATATCTAAACTTACCCTATCCTCACATTCATTATGACTGACTTCAGATATACGGGAGCACACTGTCACAGTCCAATCCATCTTGCCGGGGGTCTTATCTTTCTCTGGCCCTCCACCTTTTCCAGCACCATGTCCTCTTTCAGGGACTGGTCTTTCCAGACAACATGCCCAAAGTATGTGAGAGGTTTCACCATCCTTGCCTCTAAAGACCACACTGGTGGCACTACCTCCAAGACCGACTTGCTTGTTCTTTCTGTGAACAGTCAGGACTCTCATTTAACCCACTCGGGAGGTGGCAGGAGCATCTCTGTTTTCAGATACGAAATAGAAACGCAGCAATACAGTGTCGTTTCTGCAAGCTCATCTCAGAACCAAACAGTGGTGTCTGCATTTCCAACCCAGGAATTGATTCCAAAGACTGTGCTTCTCCTGAAGGGACGGACATCACCCTAAGTCAGAAGACAGGCTTTGGAAGACTAGCCTGAGCATGCCCAGAAGCCCCTCCCAAAGGGGAACACCAGCAGAGACCAGGCGACTCGATAAGACTTGTGTATTGCATTTTCTTAGGAGATTCCAGGAGGCCTCGTGGGAGAGTGCGTAACATATCTGCCTGTAACAGAAGATCAGCAGTTCAGATCCACTAGCCACACCTCAGGGAAAAATAGTCAGATTCAGATGTTTTTCTGTAAAGATTTACTGCTATGGGAACCTGGAAGAGGGTAACTCTGAGTTGGAATCAACTCAGTGGCATTAAGTTTAAGGAGATTGTGGGTAGGAGCCAAGAAATAAAAGAGCATAAGAGAGAGCACGTTTCTAATCTGTTGTTCAGCTTAACAGTACCTGACAACAACAGGAAAGAAATAAGATTCTACAGAGAAAAAGTCGTTTCTCATCACTCATTCACAATGACGGAATTTTATTCCAAGATCACAGTCCAGGAAGCAGTAGAACCTTTGCTGCCCTGTGTCTGAGGACTATTCTCCCAGTTGGACTGGCATCCGCAGGATTATTCCCTGCAGGGAGGGAGAGTAGGAAAATACTTTTAAGTTAATGGAGCTGGGTTCAAATCTCAGTCCTGTCATTTCCAGGCCTGTGGCCATGGAAAAAGTGTGTGGCCTCCTCCAAGCCTTAGTCTCTCCATCTGTCTCTCAGAGGGGGGTTAAATGAGATCATATCACTCCTAGAACTATCACTGGCTCATGCTCAAGTTTTCTTCTTTAAGAAATGAATGGTTTAGTGCAACAATGAATGAATGAAAACCCAAAATCTCTGTAAATGTTCATTAAAATTAATAAAATTTAATAATTTAAAAAAATGAATGGTGTAGCTGAGTAGGCAAAATGAGCAATATTCCAGAGAGTATAATTAAGTGTCAAACCCCTTGGTGTGGACTAAATGCAACCATAGTTCAGGACCTTAGGGAAGGGAGAACATGGTACTCAGGTGAGTGTTACCTGGGCTGCCATGAAGCAGCTGCTGGATTTGACCCACTCACCTTTGAGTTGGCAGTGCAAGGCTCTATCCATTTGGCTAAAAGACCAGAAAGAGAAATGAAGTGAGTGGAGCACAGCAAAAGGCAGTTCAGGACAGAAGGACAGAGTATTAGGAACATTCTGGGAGGGGCCATGACTTGATAGGTGCTGGGGATGTGGACACCAGCCTGATGAGTGTGAAAGGGTCATTTTGGGGTGGGAATTAATAAAAAGTACTAACTAGGATCCTCTGAAGCAACCTTGAGGTGGCATCACTATAGGAAATTACAGTCACGCCATCACCTAGTGATGTAACCAAATTGAGTGCACAGAGAATTTTTCTTATTGCCAAACTCAAAACAAACCCCACAGGTGTCTTGTCGAAATGATCTTACAAGAACCTGTAGGGTTTCTTCTCATAACAGGAGAAGAACTATTTCATTTCCCCCTGCCTAGGAGCTAATGGGTTCAAATCACCAACCTTTTGGTTAGCGAATCGGTTACGCAATGCTTAACCCGCTCTGTCATCAGGGTTCCTCTCTGTACTATATATATTGTCAAAGGGTTGAGGAAGACGGACAGTCTTCTTGATTACATGTCCTCTTTTGAAATTAGGGGGCAAGACACGGGTGATGTCATGGTATTGGTGGATTCGGAAGAGGAAGAGGAGGGGGAGGAGGAGGAAGATGCTGCAGAAGAGGAGGAGGCGGAGGAAAGCGAGAGGGAGGAATTGCCGAAGGAGGCGCGCACGCATGGCCACATCCATCACGTGACTGCGCTGGTGAATGGGAACCTGGAGCAGATGGGGAACGGGCTCCTGATTCTAGAAGGTAAGCCTTTGGTCCTTCAAATGCCATCTAGTCAGCTTCCCGGTGGGACATCTTCCAGGCGTGATTTGGGTTTTCAAAGGTTAGGAAAGGAAGTTCAAATTTACTCTTCTGGCGTTGTAATCATCTCCTAACTGACCCTCCCGTGTAAATCGCGTGGAAGTTGATTGCTCATCTTTCTCCTGAAAGAACATCAGGTGGGTTCGAACCAACAGAGTGGTGTGGCCTTTGAGTTAGCAGCGCAATTCCCTATGGACTAGGCCACCAGAACGCCCTAGTTAGCTACAGTTTAAAACTGGAGAATCTGAGGGACATGAGGTCATGGTGGTGGTGGTTGTTGTTAATTGCCTTCAAGTCGAGCACGACTCATAGCGACCCTATGAACAAAAGGCCTGAAGCGCCTCTACAACTATTGACAGTTATCAAAGTTGATAGAGTTTCTGGTGACATGTTATTTAGGAAGTGGATGCCACTCCTGCTTCCAAACCTGTCTTAGTATGTTATGTGCCATTTAGTCGCCTGCGATGTACAGTGACCTTATGTACAGCTGCTCTGAACCCTTCTCTGTCCTTAGCCAGTCTTACTAATTGCAACACACCAACCCCCATTGTCCCAGTTAGCATGAAAATTAAATGGACACATTCCTCAAAGCCTTCCTCTGGGAAGGGCCCAGTATTGGCATTGTGTTACTAAAAAAAAAAAAAATCCTATCTGTTGCTGATGAGTTGACTCATGGGAACCCTGTGTGTAACAGAGGGTACTCTTTACAGAAACAAATTGCCAGGCCGTTCTTCTATGGCACTACAAATTGAATTGCTAACTTTGCTGATAGTAGCTAACAGACAACTATTTGTGCCCCCAGGACCCTTATTGGCCTTGAAGGTGTAGGAACAACAACAAAAAGTAGACAGTGTTTACATGCACAGAGCTGCACAAGATCAGTGAGCACACAGATGGAAACAGGTAGGACCGTGGAAATAGAAACAACATCTAACCAAGGCTGTTAGAGCGGAAGGCAGCTCCGATGGCATGGTCCGTAGAAAGCAGCCCTGTTAACCTAAAGGTGGTACTTCTCTGGAAGTTCAAATCCCCTAGTGGCTCTGAGGGAGAAAGATATACCACCTCCTCCCATGCAATTTAAAGCCTCAAAAAACTGGCTGGAGGATCAGTTATGAGTTAGTTCTTCCTCAACAGCAGTGAGATTTTTTTTCTTTTCTTTTTTTTTCTTTTCAGGGAATTCTGGTAGCCTAATGGGTTCTTGTGCGTCAGGAAGTGTGACATGTCATAGGATGGAACAGGGTTCAGATCTTTTGTTTATGCGGCTGCTATGAGCCATACTTGATTCAATGGCACCTAGCAACTAACACAGCATTGTGTAGGGAGGTGCACTGTTAACTCAAAGACAGCACCTTCTAGTGGTTCAAGTCCTCCAGCTGCTCCGCAGGAGAAAGATGGGCAGTCTCCTCCCATGCGATTTATGGCCTCTGGAACCCTGCTGGAGGGTCAGCTCTGAGTCAGCTCCAGACTCGACAACAGTGAGCTGAGAGGAGCTGTTACGAGGAGGGATTTGATTAAGTGCGTGATGAATAATGGATTAAAAAAATGACAGGGCCTCAGAGAGCGGTGAGGGTCTTGAGGCCTAGCTTGGTCCAGGGAAGCTTTGAGGAAGGACTGCGCTTCAGAGTGAGATTTTAAGGATAGTTGCATTTGCAGAAGCAGAAAGGATGGAGGACAGTAGGACAAGCCAAGAGTGTGGAGGATGGATCTTTTGGAGAAATGCTCCATCTTGCTCTCTGGGATGTATCTTTTCTAATAAAACTGTCTTTACTTTCACCTTAAAAAAAAAAAAAGAGGCAGCTCTGGTGGCCTAGTGGCAAGAAGCTGCATTGCAATCCCAAAGGCACTTGGTTCAAATCCACCAGATGCTCTGTGGGAGAAGGAGGGGCAATCTCCTCCTGTGCCAGCTGGATCTGACTCTACAGTACACAACAAGGAAAAAAAACACCCCCCCACACACACACACACGGAGGAGGGGGAGCAGGTGATAGAGGGCATCCTGTCCTGCCTTACCTGCTCCTCTCAAATCTGATCGAATCGTCCACTCCTCTTTCAGTAAAGAATCACCCTGCCTAACAGCACACCCACGGCCACTGAGTTGGTTCATGACTCTTAGTGACCCCCCCCCAGTTGGGTTTCCAAGGAGGCTGTCTGTATTCCTCCCTCTGGGCACCTGGTGGATTTGAACTGCTGACCTTTCGGTGAGCTGCCTGATGTATTACACACTACACCACCAGGCCTCCTTGGAAAAAGTTACAAAGCAAAGACTGCAATGGTTGAGACCTGGTGATGCAAGTAGAAATATACTAGCTTGAAATCGTTCATTGTTGGTTCTGTTTCCCGCTCCCGCATACAGATGACAGCAGTGAACTGCAGAGTGACATCATTCAGGAGGAAGACGGACCCGTCTGAAGTCTGAAGAAGGGACTCACCCGACGTTATCTTTTCTTAAGAGCTTGGGAAAGCGAGGTTGGAGATGAGCTTTTCATTCGCCTTTGGCTTGCACCTAGGGACTTGCATTAGCAGCGGTTTGGGTCTCTCAGCGGAAAAAAGCAAAAGACAAACACACCTTTTTTTTTTAATTGGTTTGATTTGCTGGAAATCTTCTTAACGATGAAGGTGTCTTGCCCCCTAATTTCAAAACTTGCAAATTGCAGTATATGGGGGGAAGGATGCACTGAGGTGTCAGTTTTGCTATCACAGATGCTGACTGGGAGGGAGACGGAGTCTGCAAAAAGCACATGGGCTCAGTGCCTTGTGCCCTATTACAGGCCTGTCACCAGCTTCTCTGGCACAAAAGGAGTATTTCAGGGTGACAGGAACATGTCCTCTGTCATTGCCTAGGTGAGCCAGTGGCTGAGGAAGCCGGGCAAGTATCATTTCCCTGAGAAAGGGACAGAGGGGTGTCAGCTGCCACTGTTAGTCAGAAACAGGCAGTTTATGTCAAGAGCAGCCCTGCCCTTGTCACATGGGCTCGAGCATGTGTGGCTCTTTGCCTCTCCCTGAGCCTCGATGTTCTCACCTGTAAGATGGGTGACCCCATACCTACCTTACTGTAAGGAGGATCAGAGGAGATAATGTTGGATGTGAAAGTACCTGGGAGGCGCTCAGGAAACATGAGTTAACTTCTTTGCCTTTGGAAAAGAAATGCTGAATGTAAGAGTTACTGCCTGGTGCCTTTCCTTCACCGGACACTGGTTTCTGGCGAGGGCATGATCAGAGCTCTCCTGAGCAAAGTTTGCTTCTCTGAAGATGTTAATTCTTCAGAGTTGAACTGCCCCATAGGGTGGTGTCCAAGGCTGTCAGTCTTTATGGAAGCAGAATGCTGCATCTTTCTCCTCCATAGTGGCCGGTGGGTTTGAACCACCAGCCTCCTGCTTAGCAGCCCAGCACTTAAACCGCTGTGCGCCCCTGGGGCTGCTTTTCAAGGCAGAAGGGGCTGCAAAGAGGAAGTGCCTTTCAGTGTAACCTCACACACGCTTGCAGGGCTTCCCAGTTACAAAGCCCCTCGGGTGTTAGGCTCTGAGCTTTTAGCCTCTCTCATCCTTCATGTCTCCTTTTGTCATGAAAGGCAGCAGGACAAAGGTTTGACGACAGAGAACCTGGTGATAGCGATCCCTTGTGTAAACTGGTTTGTCTGGCCCTTGTTTCTTCCGCTTGGAAATGGGAGAGCTTGGTTCCTGCCCTCCTTCTTGGAGGGATTTTGACACAACATTGACCAGGCTTCCAATGAGCACAAGCAATGAGGGTAGGCCGCTGGGCCTTCCCAAGAGCTACTTGTACAGTTTAGAGATTGTTTTCTCCCCCTGATTTTGTTCAAATGTCTTAGTGGCAGGGATTTTCCAAGGGGGTAAGCGAGGTGTGCTAACTGTGGTATCTGACTTGAATTTGCACTCTTTACTGATGCCCACTCTGCTGTAATGGCATGGCTTCAAAGAGACCTTTCTCTGCTCCCAGTGATGCTGAAAATGAGAAGCTGGGTTATCTGAGGTGGCCATGAAAGTGTGATTGAGGAGGACTGATTTTCTTGGAGCAAGGGACTCTGCAAACTGAGTGACTGACTCGGTGTGTGCCCAGCTCAGACCCTGGGGAGCCAAGGAGCTGGCTGTAACCCCAGCCCTCAGGAATACCTGTGGATTGTGGTTCTCATTGCGGGCTTTTGCTGCTGGATCCTCATTCGCTTAACCACTCACTCTAAACAGCTCACGACCATGTCATGTCAGAATGGAAATCTCGGACAGGTGGCTTCTAAAGTCGCTGGGATCTGAGTTCATCTTCTCTTTGAAGTCCTCCATGACTGAATTCTGGGATTTGAGAGACCACTCTGCAGAGTCAAGCACAACAAAAACAAAATATAGGAAACCATCCGAGCTGAGACACAGGAGAAGGTGTTTTGACACCATTTGATGCTTTCTATAGCTTCCTCTTCTCCCAAACACGTGCACACACCTGATGACAGGAAGAAGCTGAAGCAGGCTTTTTCCACCAGCAAATGGGAACTTCGCAGTCCTGGTGCCAACACACTGTATACCACGCATTGCATCCCTTGAGCTGTGACCAGTGGCACTTTTCTGAGCCTGGAGTGCTCACAAATATGACTCTGTCAAGTTAAGAGCCCCAGTTAGTGGGAAGTCTTCACCTTTTAAGGCTTTTGTTAAAAGAATCCAGACTTTTGTTTTGTTAAAGATGTTTTCCAAAGACATGGTGGCAGCGAGGTACAGAGCTTGGTCCTGACAGTGGCCAAGTGCAGGTTTTTTCCCAAATCTTATGCATGGGATGTAAACCTGAGAGAAATGCGAGATCTAACAATCAGAACCAAGAAGACAAAACACTGCAGTGGTACCATGTCTGACATCTCTTTTTCTTGGCAACTTGATGGAACTCGGAGGACTGCGGGTGCACAAATCCTGGGGCTTTTGATAACAGCTACAGTGCTCACAAGCACATACAAGCTTGATTCCTGCAGCAGGAAAACCCATGATGGGAAATTTCCATACCCCCAATGCACCCAGACCTGGAATAGCATCCTCATCAGGTGAAATTTATGATGATGCAATAAATGCCAACCGGTATTTCTCACCATGGGACTGGCCAGGAGCAGCTGCTGAACAACAACAACAAAAAAATAAAACAGGCCGATCCCTCTGCATTATTCACATTTTTCATATTTGGTGGGGCGAGGTCAGGAAAAATTTAGTCCTGAGGTTATAATATGGATTTTTTTTTAAAAGACAATGGAATAAAATTATTTTTAAATAAAATGATTTTTGGTGATCTTTATTTAGACTTTATTAAGCCAACAGAAAGATCTGGGGGAAATGAATTTGTCAAAGATAAAAAAAAAATGTCACCCCCTCGTTTTCTTGTTGGTAATTTTTCATTCTTTTTCACCGATGGTAGGTAGCCTCCCTCTCACACTTAATGAGACATCTATGCCTTTCCCAGTCTCCCTTGAGAAATTTGTTGTTCTTGCCCCGTTCCTCTTTTTTCTTTTGGTCAGACAGGCTTAAAGTGCTAAGTTAAGTATTAGGATGGAAGACACAGAACTGATGGAGTGTTTCAAAAGACCATTTCTGTTAGCCCACAAAGGGCTTCGAAGGCCTTCACTTTGTGACTGATTTTAGTGCTTCATGGTAAGGAATTACGCTGTCAACCCAAAGGCTGGCAGTTCAAATCCAGCTGTTTCACAGGAGAAAGATGGGCACACTCTCGTGCGATTTACTGCCTCTGAAAACCTGCGAGAGGGTCAGCGGTGAATTGATTCCCACACAACAATACGTAACAATCCTTCAGCCAGAGGTGGTGAGGACAGCTCTGGATAAGTCAAGGTTGTCATAGGGTTACTGTAAGTGGTCTCCATTGCTCCTAAAAACAGTGCCTCATCCCACCCCTACTTCAGGTGTCCCCTTCCATTCCTAACCTCCCCAAATCCCCAGGCCCATACTTTGTCCGTAATTCTTAGTTTTTTTAGCTTCAGCCTTTGCTTCATTTAGGCCATTCAAGTGTTCTCCACACATACAGGCTTGCTCCCCATTTCCTTCCCCAGGTCCACAATTCTTTATCTAAGTTGGCGTTTGAAACCCATTTCCTTTTTAATCAAGTCTTTGTGTTCCTACCTTAACATCAATTTCCCTTTTTTAAAACCTCAGTCTTTCCATTTTTTTTTCTCCATCACATTCCCCCTAGACCTTGAGTTTCTGAGTCCCTGGTCCTGAATTCCTCTTTCCTGGATTCATGTCACCTCAGTCTGCCCTGTCCCTCCCATGTTTATCCCACATGGACTTTTTCATGGACCCCAATCTTCATCAAATCCCCTTTTCCCTCAGTTGCTCCCCCCCAACTACCCTTGGTCCTTGGCAAGGCACATTTTCGCCTTCCTTCCCCCATCCCCAGCATGTCTTTCAGTCTGTCTCATCTTTAAAGTTTCTGTGCACTGTGCTTTCTCCAATTCCCAACTTCTATCTTCAGCTCCATGTTCCTTCTGCCTTTGCCTCTTGATTTTATCTCACACACGGTTTCCAGCCCCATGTTAACCCTCAATTTTATTACACGTACACATAGGGTTTAGGGTGTTAAGGATTTCCCTCCCCCCATTCCATCTTTCATTTTCCTTTGACTCTAATCTCTTCAGACTCTCATTTTTATTGATTTATTGCTTCCTGCTTGCCCCCCCCCCCTTGACCTTGTTCCCTTTCCTCACCCTTCTCTGGTTTATGCCTCTTCACTCTGCTCTGCTCCCTCCCCCAGTTACCCGGTACTCCCTTGCACCCAGGTTTTTACCCTTCTGCCTCAGCCTTCACCTCACATCTTACCTGGTCCCTATGTACCTGGCCCCTGCTCCACACACCCCCTCCCTCTCTCCCCCCTCTTTATCTAATCTAATCCCATATCCTCTTTTTCCTGCCCCCCTCTACTAGTTTTCAGCCCCTTGGGAAACTGTCCCCATCTCTCCCACACATGCCCTCCTCCTAAGCGCCCCTCCAGCTCCCCCTGGACATCTGCACCCCAGGACCCAGCCTTATTTCCTTCCCTCTCCCATTCAGTATCCTCCTTGCTCCTCCCTCAAGTACCAGCCTCCAGCTTCTCCCCTCCAAATATGCACTCCAGCCCCCTGCCTCATTTCCTGGCCCCTCCCCTTCTCTGTCTTCAGTCTCCCTCCCCCCTCCACGTGTGCACCCCAGCCCTTGATCCCAGCCTCCCACTTGCCCTCAGCACCCCTCGCAGCCAGGATCCTCTAGGTCTCCCCACTGCATGTGTACACCTCAGCCTCCTACCTCCCCTTCTTGTTTCCCAGACGCCCACCTCCCTCTGAGTCTCCCCTCCCCACATGTCCGTTCAAGCCTCCTGCATCAGCCTCCATTTCCCTTCAGCTCGCTCTCCCCCATTCTCACTCTTCTAGGTCTCCCACGTGC